CGGATTTCTGTGTCCGACTTAATATGAACTACCAATATACCAATTCCGACAGGGTCTCCAACATTAGTCGTCTCACACGACCGAAGTCATCAAACCGGACGACCGGCAATCGTATTATGACGTATATAATTCCAACGTACGCCACGTAACCTCACTTTGCGTATCAGTGATTTGTGGATTAGTGAAACTATATTTTAGTTTTTGTTTTCTCCTTAAAAAAAATGGGCAGCCACTTTTTTAAGACTAACCTCACATGTGGGAGGAGGATGGGGTCTGCTAGTTTCCTAAGCTAAAAAATGAAATTAAGATGCACCAGTGTAATGCAGCATCGCTTCCGGATAAAAAGCAATTATGGGTGGAGGCAAGAAATCACTACTACTATTATTATTTTGCAAAAGCCTCGACCTCCTGTAAAATGTAGATGAATGTTTATATGCCTTTTTAGTGTTTTTTTAGGCGTAAATTAAGTATGTTTACTTTTGTACAAACTTTTTATCAGGTTATATTCACGATGATCATTAGGTCGCAAATACTACTTAATGGGTCGTATTTACGGACGTAAATAGAGATACGTAAATTAGGTTATAAATATGAACATAAAATACAACAAAATATAATTGGACGTTACTTTAGGGATTATCAATGTGACGTATCCTATTCGGACAACGGGTAGACGTCGGGCTAGTTCAAGTGTATGTACGTCGTGCAAGCCAACGTGGGAACGACGTTGGGAAATTAATAAAAATGGTACGTTGTTATTTTGTACGTCGACAGATCGTTGGATTTACCGACTCGGATCCAACGACGTCGCTTTTAATAGGAAAGCGACGTCACCGGTCGTATCACCAGCACCCGACTTAAATTTGCACAAAGTCTGACGTCGCTTCAGGTCAGATTTAGTTCGAAGTCAGATAGATGCTACTTGGGTCTACAAACCTTAATCAAGCCTTAATCTAAGCACGTGCGTTTAAAATTTTAGGTGTTGCTTAACACGACAGGATCGGGCTAAGCATTAGGGAGATTTCTGGTTTTTGAGATATTTGGAATCGAAATTATCAATACCTGTCATCACTGACATAAATTAAACATGCGTTGACTAAATAGTTATTAGACTGAAATTATAAATTTGAAATGTTTTTGTGCCAAAAGTTCAATAGAAACTGTTTTATCATCATTTTTTGCAGAAAAATTTATCATTAATTAAAAAAAATACAAATTTCCCAATTTTATTATTTCAGTGAAATAACTATCTACTCAACGTGTTTATTTTTCGTCAATAATGGCACGTATTGACTATTTTCATTCTAAATATCTTGAGAACGGTTGCTCGCAGCAATTTTTACAAAGAGATATTTTTTACATAAAAAATCACAGAGATGTACATTTTTTTCCTCGGTAGTTTTATACAGGTACGGACAAAAAGTTGTTATGCTTTAAAACACATGTAGGTGGCGCCCTCTACCAGTAGGGGTCACATTGACATCAAAATCAAATTTCTCATGTCAAAAAACTCCCAGACAACAATTTTCATTTAAATATTGACGTTACTTCAGAAATTATTTGGAAAAAGTCGAAATAAAAATGAAATTTCTACACCCTGTATCTCCGAAACTAAGCATTTTAGGACATACATTTATACGAACTTTTTTATCTATTTTTATCTGCAGAATATGCTGCCGAAGTTTCCGGAATAAAATTCGGACCACCCTGTATATTTCTTTCGGCCACTCACCAGCTTTACCCGACCCCTGAGAGCGGCCCGAACAGTACAGCGTAATAGACTATTAAAATACTTTTCTATACTTCTTCACCGTGTTACGTAAGTGCGCCAATGCTCGCATTTTTATCGTTACCGCGTCGCCACTCCAGCACGACGTTTCGAAATCCCGCAGGTCCATTTTCTAATTACGGTCCGCAGCTTTGAGCGGCGACCGTAAACGAGACGGGAGCGCCCTCTTTTTGCAGCCGTAGCGGACGCCACGGTAACTAACGCTGCTCGTGGGGAATGCACTTTGTCAAAAGTTTTTCCCGCTCGAGTGTTGGACTTTTGCCGTTTTCGAGAAAAAGAGCAATAAAAGGAAAGACCGAGTGTAGTTTTTCGATTTTTTGTTTCCGAGTTTCGCGACCTAATAAACGTATGGCGGAGACTTGTTGTTAGTTTTTATCTTTTTAAAATTTATGTAAAGAAGATTTTTAATATACATCAAAATTTTGAAGTTTTTTTAACATTTCAGGTCAACAGAGCAGAAAAATTATAAGGGTGTGTTTTAAACAAAACGCCACATACCGAAAAAAACATAAAAACTATTTCTTACTTTCACGCTCAAGCAACTTCCTGCATTTATTATTAAATTTATTAATATAACTTATGCCCAAATAAAAAAAAAACATCTCACAAGAATAAATAAAACACAACATAAATAAAACAAAACATTTTATTAATAATAACACTTACTGAATTTTATACCTTTAAAAGTTGATTAATTAACTTTAATCTTATTTTTTTTAAAGCAGTATCCTTTACCTATTGTGCAGATACTCCTGTATGGGTACCATATACGAGATAGTATGTAAACTTTATTTGTGGGTAATACAACTCTCTGGCAAACTGTGTCTCTGCATGGGCACCGAACTCGGCACCGAATATTAACTGTAAACTACTATGGTCTGGTTTAACACTTAATTTTCCCTCGAGTTTTCCTCCACTTAATTTCAAAAAAACACGAAACACGTAATAACACAGTCCAAAATGCTAAATATCAAATTTCTATTTGACATAATTTGATACAAAATTATAATCTATAATTTGGCAAGAGTTTGACAACTCCCAAAAATGTTAAGTCGTGTTCATACGCACCGGCGCGACGTCCGTTTGTCGTTCATCGTTCCGTCAAACCAATAATATTGAAATTTACCATTTGAATCTGCCATTTTTGAAATAAACCAATAAAACTGGTTAAAAATCAAGAGACGACGAGAATGACGGATTTATATACCGGGTGTTGCATTGTCGGACGGGACATAGGAAATCCCATGTAAATTTTAATGAGGTCAATTATTGACTTCCCTAATTATTTTAGAGAATAATTCTGTTTAGGTTTATTGAAGAGCACTAAAACCCACATTCAAAAGAATAACTTTAGATATTTTTGATTAGCCCGTTTACGAGTTATCGCCGATTTCTTTTTAAATATTTCTCCTTTCTTATAGCCCTGTATTTACTTATAAGCACCAGTCAAGGTAAAAGATAACTGTCAAATGAAATTGTCATTTCAGAAATTTACCTATTTAGTGCTTTATTATTATTGAAAACTCATTCCTACATCGGAAATCTTAAAGATGTATTTATAAATACAAATTAATAAAAAACTAAAAAAAAATAAAAAAAAATCAATTACAAGGTTAATTATAGTATTATTACAATATTCAATAACTTATTAATTTAGGTACTATTAAATTGTTAGAACTTTAGGATTTAACAAGATGTTCAAATATTCCTCCATCGACTGCTAGACAATAAACCAGGCGATCATAAAATTCTCTTCTTACATTCGCTAGTTGGTAAACTGAAATTCTATTGCATTCGACAGAAATAGCATTTTTTAACTCGTCTAGATTTGGGTATTTTTTATCCTTGTATATCCTGTTTTTTAAATGGCCCCAGAGAAAGAAATCATTTGGCAAAATATCAGGAGACCTTGCTAGCCAATTTACTGTATGATTTAGGCCAATAACGTTTCCGTTAAAACTATAGTCTAAATATTTAGTATTTAGAAAATAGTTTTAAGGAATGGTATTTATGTTTGAAGGAATAGTATTTATGTCGTTTCGAAATTCGAAACGCTGTAGTGTGATCTATTCCTATTTCATCCTCAAGTTTCCTTGTGTTGATCTTTCCATCGTTCTCTTCCACGCACAATAAAACTTCCAAGTCGGTATCATTTCTTGCATCTTCTCTTTGTTCCTGCCTTGCTTCGCATCTGCACTTATTTATTAGGGTACCTTTAGTCTCAAATCTCTGCATATTCCTTGCGATTGTAGATTTTCCAGGTATCGGTCTATTCGGATACAGAGCAGCACACATGTCCGACACCTTTTGATAACTATTTCCTTGATAATAGATACCATTTGATCATCAATACTTTTTCTTCGGTAGTGTAATTCATGGCTAATATTTTCGATGTAGGTATTAGTTTTTAATAATAATAATAAAGCACTAAATAGATAAATTTCTGAAAAAACTTCATTTGACAGTTATCTTTTACCTTGACCGGAGCTCATAAGTAAATACAGGGCCATAAGAAAGGAGAAATATTTAAAAAGAAATCGGCGCGGCGATAACTCGTAAACGGGCTAATCAAAAATATCTAAAGTTATTCTTTTGAATGTGGGTTTTCGTGCTCTTCAATAAACCTAAATAGAATTATTCTCTAAAATAATTAGGGAAGCCAATAATTGACCCCATTAAAATTTACATGGGATTTCCTATGTCCCGCTCAACGATGCAACACCCGGTATAAACTCATCCTATATATATATATATATATATATATATATATATATATATATTTTTTTTTTTTTTTTTTTTTTTACATATCCGGTTTGCTTCCTTCAGCTCCGACACTTGAAGGAAACTTGCCGGTGTCCTCTTTCAGTGTTCAACTCCTGACGTCCGTCTGGTAAGCCGTTCACTGAATCCGCGTATCGTGTGCCCTGAGTATTTTGAGAGAGCCCAAAAGCACAGCTCTTCTGCATGCTTGCAGCAAGTCGTTCCGCTACATTATAACACGCTGGTATCAGTTTCAATTGCTGGAGCAGGGTGTCTTTAACTCCTCCTAAACTTCCTATCACCAGTACCACCAACCTTACAGAATGATCAGCGTACATTCTGCGCATTTGCTCTAGGAGTTCCTGGTACTTCTCCCTCTTTTCCTCTTCTTTACTGATTATGTTCTTCTCTGATGGCGCCGAGAATTCTATGACATAAATTATTTTCTTCGCTATATCCTGAGAACTATGTCTGGTCTGTTCGCCCGTATTTGTCCGAAGGCCTGGAATGGATAGTTCCAGTAAATTTTGGTTGTTTCGTTTTCCACCAAGGACTCAATTTCTTTCGGTGTTTGTGGTAGTACTGGCGTTTCATCAAATCCATGCATATGATGAAGGTGATAGTATATCACCCTCAATGCGGCGTTATGGCGCTGGGTATAAGCCGAAGCCGCATAAGTAGGGCAGGCTGATAGTATGTGCCACAGGGTCTCCGGAGCTTGATGGCATGCTCTACATCTTATATCTTCGATTTGTTGGCCCATAATACGGCTACGGTACACCAAAGAGCCATAGACACCGTCCTGGCATGCCAGTATAAATCCCTCTGTCTCAGATCTTAAGCCGCTCGACCTCAGGAAAGCAAATGATAGTCTCTCAGAAAGCTGCTGTTGTGTCATTATGTTATAGAAGGCTCCGTGCACGGGTTTCTCCACGTGATTTTGCAAGAACCTCCTGTTCTGTGCGGACCTAATTCGGTTGACTACCTGTGTGGCGCTGTGTTCTGTGATGGATTCTGGATGTTGGCGCTGAAGATCGAATATTAGATTGAGTTTATTCGCTGCTTTTTTTGCTTCTTTGAAAATGAATCCACCAATTTCTTCTTTCTCGTGGTCTCGTACCATTACTAGTAGAGGATCTTGAGTTTTAAGGAGTGTGTACGCCGTGCTTAGGATCACTCTTTGGTGTAAGCTTTCTAAACTGAGAAGACCGCGTCCTCCCTGTTCCCTTGGTAGATAAAGCCTCGGGACAGATGATTTTGTGTGCAAGCTTTTTTCCATGTGCATCATCTTTCGAGTTATTACATCGAGTTGGTGCAGTTCATTCTCCGTCCATTTTATTACACCAAAGGAGTATGTGATAATAGGTGTGGCCAGTATGTTGGTTGCAAGGGTTTTATTCACTCCAGACAAACTGGAAGACCAGATTTGACGAAGTCTCTTCCGATAACGTTCGCAGAGAGAGTCTTTAACCTTTTGTGTCTCTTGGAAATGCCGCTGTTCAATTCCAAGGTAGGTATATGTCTCATCATCGGTCAGTTTTTGAATTGTACTTCCATCTACCAATTGCACATCCTCTCCGTAGTTTTCATTTCTTCCCCTTTTTAGGTGAATTACAGCACATTTATTGAGCCCAAGTTCCATTCCAATCGCACTCGTAAACTCCTCCACAATTCGCAGAGATATTTTTAGGTCCCTTTCTCCTGCGGTGTACAGCTTTAGGTCATCCATATAAAATAAGTGTGTGACCTTGTGACCTCTGATTCCTGGCTTTCCACATTTGTATCCGCGTGTGTTCCGAAGTGCGATCGAAAGTGGGAGAAGGGAGATGCAGAAGAGGAGAGGACTCAGTGAGTCGCCCTGGAAAACTCCCCTTCTTAGCTGAATTGCATCCGTGCAAATCTTAGTTGTTCCGTTGTTGATGCACACCCGAGTTTTCCAGAGCGGCATCAGCCTCTCAATACAGTCCACCACTGCCTCCGGTGCCTCAAGGGTTCGTAGCAGGCGCAGGATAAGTTCATGGCTTGTGGAGTCAAATGCCTTGCGATAATCTATCCAGGCCATGGATAAGTTTCGCTGGTACTGCATCGAATCTTGTGTGATGCTCCGGTCGATAAGAAGATTCTCCTTACATCCAGCCACCCCCCTTTTTGAGCCTCGTTGTTCGTGGATCTCATCGAGCGCTGTTTTGATAGCTGATAATAGTCGGGCATACAAGATCCTTGTGAATATCTTGTAGCATGCATTTAGGCAGGTTATCGGCCTGTAGTTCTTCGGCTGCGATAGATCTCCACTTTTAGGTATTAATACTGTCCGCCCCTCTACCACCCACGACGGTATTTGTTGGTTTCCATGCAACCATGTGTCGAATATCCTTGCCAGGTGGAGATGTGTAGATGTCAGTTTTTTCCACCAGTATGCGTTTATACAGTCTGGGCCCGGCGCTGAGAAGTTCTTCGTACCCTGGAGTGCTTGTTGAACTTCTTCCTCTGTGATTTGATGTTTCGGCTCATTAGCCGTTCGGTGGTTCTGAGCGAAGACTTTGAATTGCTCGAGGGCCGGGGTGTTATATCGGAGTGGTCGAACCTCGCCATACAAGTCTTTCCAGAAGTTCTCTACTTCTTCAGTGGTAGGCGGATTTTCTATTTGCGCCATTGGTGGTGAGAATAGTCGTCCTGGCTTTTCCCGAAACATTTTGTTTTCCATAATGGCCTTGGTCTTTTCAGCCAGCTGTCTTTTGGAGATCATGAGAACTTTGATGCGGTCAATATAATGCTGTTTGGCTGCAAGCAGTATTCCTTGATTCAGTGTGTGATGGTTGCGTCTTAGTTCTGCTGCAGTTTTTCTCACTCTCCTTGTAAACGGTGTACCTTGTATTTGATATTCAATCACACACTGTATTCTGGACGCTTTTTGTCTTGCAAGTTGAATTTTTGCCTCCATTTTTTTAATCCTTCTTTGTGCTCTAATTTCAGGCGTTGCGCGTGCATGGGTTATTATTGGCTGGCAGGTTCTTTTTACAACGTCATACACAGTGCTGTTCAGTTGCCAAATATTAGGATTATTCGGGAGAGTGTCGCTTAAGCTTTCATCCATTCTCGTTATCTCTAGCGGCTTCAGTGCTTTTATGCGATGTAATGCTCTTCGGGATTCAAATATTGCTTGCTCATTTATTGGTGTTAATGGCATTTCTGGAATTGGTAGGTGGTCGCTTGATCTGGAAACCTCAGCCGGTTGGATATTTACTACAGTCTCGTTCGTTTCCATTTGCAGTTGTACCCTTATGAACCCCTGGCTTCGCAATCTCGTTGCGCAGTTACGAAGATTTTGCGCTGTGATAGTTTCATGTTCGGGGTGCATTCTGCCCCATTCAGCATGCAGCCGCACCATGTATCCTCTTCGGCCTGGGCTACTCTTTTCGTAGCACTCAAGAAGGTCGCTTCTGAGCTCATCAGTCCACTCAAAGCGTTGTCCATTTTCATTGCGGTTGTCGTCATCGTTGGGCGGTCTGATTGGGGTTCTGCCACCTTGCCCATGACCTCCATCCGAGAGAGATCGGTTGTGAGAGCCCCTTTCACTAGTACCGTTAGGGAACCAGAGTGTTAGGTGCGTGGAAAGGTGGTTAACCTTATTCCACACACCCGGCCGACACTAGGAGAAACAAGCGAATTCCCCCTTTGGATGTCACCTGGTTAGGCTGCCGGACCGATTTACATCCTCTAGCTGGGGAGCGTGGTGGCGCTACTCACCAAACCAATGATGTTAGTTGGCTTCCCTGCGCATTATATATATATATATATATATATATATATATATATATATATATATATATATATATATATATATATATATATATATACTTATACTAATTAAATCATATTGATAACCCATTTAATTTCCTTTAGATAATCATTGAAATGAAATATCTGGGATTTTCTAAATCATAGACCATTGGCGCGAAAGAAACTCGGCTCTTTCGTAAATCGATCGTTAGGTCCAATTTGCATTCGAAATTTTTCCATCACTGCGAAATTCGATGACCAATTAGTAGATGCACTTCCAGAAGCGGTCCGGCTTCAGAGGCGTACCGATAGCCAATTTAAAAAAGGGATTCAATATAAATTAAAGTCTAAATTAATGATGTACTTGTATTTAAAAGAAGCGTATAGTTTCAACTGCTCTAAAATGCTATAGCTCTAATATAAAATATGTTCTGTCCTTTCTTCTTCAGATTGTCAATCTCATCAGCTTTTGTAGATTGTAGATTGGAGGATGGGGGGAATTTAGTTATCCGTTAGTTACCACCGCTACCTTATACAGGGTCTGGCAATAGTGCGTCGGGCATTTGTAGCTCTTAGAATAAAAAAATTGGGAATTTTGTTTAAGTGTAAATATAAAGTATGTACGAGGATGTATTTCAGGAAAATATTTTAACTTCTATAGGGTTGCTCGAAAAACTGTGTGTGGATCGGGATGAGTTTTTTTTAAATGGAACATCCTGTATATTTTTGCATTTTTGGCTTCCTCTCAGATCACTTTACATAATTCTAAGACCATGAGTAAATATATTTTAATAGTTTCAGAGATATTAATAAATAAATAAAAATTATAAATTTTTCAGCCTGTCTTAAAAAATTATTAATAATTCAAGAACTGTCCTGAAATTAAAACTATATTAGTTATTTACTTTAGATGGTCTGTACTTACTTTGCTATAAGTATGGAAATCGTTAATCATACAGGATGTTCAAAATTCTATGCCAAACTTTCTAAAATATAAAATAATTTTTCTTCGTTTTTTTAAATGGAACACCCTGTATATTATTTTTCAATAGATGGATAATAAAAAAATGAACATTTTTGGTATTTAGAGTATATAAAATTTTTAAACTGTTTCGCAGATATTCGCGGTATTATATTTCATATGACATTTTCCACAGTAAATTTTTATCAGAGCCACCAAATGATTTTTCTCTCGTATTTTACAATTAAATGGGCCATATGAAATAATACTGCGTGTATCTGCAAAACTATTAAAAATTTTGAAATACTTTAAATACAAAATATGTTAATTTTTTAATTCTCCATATAATAAAAAAATAATATACAGGGTGTTCTATTTAAAAAAGCAAAGAAAAAATATTTTATATTTTAGAAAGTATGGCGTAGGATATTGAACATTCTGTATGATTTGCGTGTACCATATTTATAGCAAAGTAAGAACAGACCATCTAAAGTAAATACCTAATCTAGTTTTTATTTCAGCACAATTCTTATATATTTAATAATTTTTTTAAGAAGGGATGAAAAATATATATTTTTGATTTATTTTTTAATATCTCTGAAACTATCGAAATATATTTACTCATATCTTAGGATTATGTAAAGTGATCAGAAAGGAAGCCAAAAATGCAATAATATACAGGGTGTTCCATTAATAAAAATCATCCTGATCCACTCACACTTTTTTGAGCCATCCTATAGAAATTAAAATATTTTCCTGAAATACATCCTGGTACATACTTTAGGTTTGCACTTAAACAAAATTTCCAATTTTTTTTATTCTAGGAGCTACAGCAAAATAAAAACACTAAATCACCACAATACACCAAAACACTTTTACTTTTACACTGGACGCGCGTTTCGCTAACCATATGATTTAGTGTTTTTATTTTGCTGTGTAACACCAAAGGTTCCAACCCTCAATCTAGGAGCTACAGATGCCCGACGCACTATTGACGGACCCTGTATGATTGTATCCATATCCAGATTTTATCCCTTTTCTTGAGTTATAATTCATCATACAGTCTTAGGGCTTTGATATAAAAGTCAGTATCTGAGACGGACTTATAGAGGTTAGTTCTCCATCTCCGATATCAGTGGTACTAAAATTTATAGCACGAATAGTTTTATCTCGGCGCACTAAGTGATGAGGTTGTGTCATTCTAACTAACAAAAATACTGGATAGTTCAAGAATTACAAGGCGACGAACAGAAATCTATTGGCTAGTGGTCCGAACTGTATTCTGGAAACTTTTTCAGCATATTCTGCAGATAAAAATAGGTATTTTGTTTTTATAAATGTATCTCCTAAAATGCTTAGTTTCGGAGATACAGGGTGTACAAATTTCATAGTTATTTCGATTTTTTCTATATAATTTATGGAGTACCGTCAATATTCGGATGATAATTGACGTGTGGGAGTTTTTTGACATGAGAAATTCGATTTTGATGTCAATGTGACGCCCACTTGTAGAGGACGCCACCTACATATTTTTAACTGGTTTGAAGAGTAATAACTTTTCGTCCGTACCTGTATAAAACGAGTGACTAAAAAAATATAAATTTACAACATTTTTTACGTAAAAAAGGTATCTTGGAGGCTTTCGAGATATTTGGAATCGAAATTCATCAATTCAATCAATACCTATCATCATTGACATAAATTAAACATGTTGAATAAATAGTTATTAGACTGAAATCATAAATTTGAAATGTTTTTGTGCCAAAAGTTCAACAGAAACTGTTTTATCATCATTATTTTGCAGAAAAATGTATGATTAATTTAAAAAAATAAAAATTTCTCAAATTTATTATTTCAGTCAAATAACTATCTACTCAACGTATTTATTTTTTGTTAATAATACCATTTATTGACTATTCCTATTTTAAATAGTATCTTGAGACGGTTGCTCGAAGAGATTTTTACCGTGAGAAATTTTTTACATAAAAAGTTATGGAAATGAATATTTTTTCACTCAGTAGTTTTATACAGGTACGGACGAAAAGTTATTACTCTTCAAACCAGTTAAAAAATATGTAGGTGGCACCCCCTACTATTGGCATCAAAACCAAATTTTTCATGTCAAAAAATCCCAAGCCACCTATTTTCGTCCATATATTGAATTTACTTCAGAAATTATTTTGAAAAAATCGAAATAAAAATGAAATTTCTACACCCTGTATCTCCGAAACTAAGCATTTTATTACATATATTTATACCAACTTTTTTACATAATTTTATCTGCAGAATACGCTGCCGAAGTTTCCGGTATACAGTTGGGGCCACCCTGTTATAATTTACTATCTTTTTAGGATGAATATTTCCAACAGAACAATCACTTGAACTTATGAGATAAGCAGAAAAATGTCTGATAGGAAAATAATTGTTTCTATCAGAAAAAGACAATCATGGAAATATTAAAACCAAAAAATATGCTGCCAAAAGACATCTCAATGTAATTCAGATACTATCATACTAAACATCTTGAAAAGTAGATGCTTCTTAATATATTTCTTTTAGTTAGTTTGCAAAAAATAGCTAGTTTTAAAAATCTCTACCCACGTATTGACGTATTCATTTTAGCCATGATTAAAGGAAAAGTATGACAAGAGAAAAAGATCCTCTTTCTTCAAACCTTGAACTTATTATAATCCTACTGTTACGTTTACATTAGATTTTCATCCAAAAAGCCTTTATACATTTTAATCCCACCAACGCCTGACATTCAATATCTTGTTTTCCAGTTTCCATAGAGCCTCCCAAGTCGATTTTTCAAAATGCGATAATTTAAAGAAAACACTCACCGTGTAATTCAGGTGGTAGGAACAGCCAGTATTTTCCTACAAAGTAAAGATGCTCTAAGCTTCATTCCGTTCCACGGAATTCCAGTTATTCCCGGTGTAATTACAAAAAGGGGGGTGGGGGAAGGGGAAGATGAACGAAGGAAAGGGCAGACCTCGGGCAGGGTGAAGGGAGCAGCACTGAAATGGGAAAGTCGAATTCCTCGTCGGATTGGATGGCCCAAGTTTTTGACTGAGCTTGTCGTAAATTAGTGGAAAGAGTTGCATCTCTACTGGCCCCAATTTTCCAGACATTCCCGGCATAATCCGCTGGCGAACCGCGAGCGACGATCTAACCAAGTTTGGAGGACAAGGGTTGTTTAAAAATTAATTCAATTTGCCAGTTTCAATTTAAATTAGTGCAAACGTAATTGGAAGAAAATAAGGTAGGATGGGGAAATGACAACAAATTCTTAATATTTAGAAATCTAGTTTTGTGGATATTACAATTAATTTTTGTTTAACTTCTTTTTATAAGCTAACAAAAATTGTTAATTAAAATGTCTATTATGTTGTAGACGATGTATATAATAGTTATTATAGTTATTTTTTATACAAGACGATAAAATTGGTATTCGGTATTGGTGGTGAATTAATTTCGGGAGACGATAATTCAATTTTATCGTCGTGTATAAAAAAATATTT